GATCCTAAAGTATCAATTTTCAAATTAGAGGCCAAATTGTGTAAAATATCAATTTGGTGCTGAATGGTTCGTGAATTATCAGAAATATTAAAACAACACATTCCCTCAAAACTTTCACAACCCAAATGTTGGTACAGAAGCAAATAATCAATAGCAGCGTGATTTTACAAAATAGCTTTTCTCAAATCTTGTAGCTCATGGTTGATTGCTGACATAGCTGAAGAAATAGCATTAATATTGAGGTGGGCACGAATAGCAAGTCCTGGCACTAAAGATATAGTTAGTGCCACATATTCTGCCTTATTAAGTAACGTTGTCTCAGAGTCACAAGTGCTGTTTAGCGTGACTCCATGTCGAGAACAGTTCAGTGAACTTGTTGATTGAAAAGCAAAACAGGAATCAGCCGGCTGAGGCAACATTGCGCTTCACTAATATTAGCAGGAATATAATTAAAAGTTTCTTGACCACACGTGAAAAACCATCCTTGTAGTAGCCAAATATGTCCATAATGAAAGAAAGTCTCTTCAAAAGCTGTGCAGTTTAAAACAGGTGAACTAATGCGATGACAGCGAGGTTTTTTACTTGAAGAAGTATAATTAACTATTTTTGCACATGTTATTATTGCAGGGATAGCTACCACCGGAGTATGCAAAGCAATAGCGTCAGGGGGTGGATAATAAGCAGTAACCCCCCCATCTAGATATAGCTTTATAGTTAAAGGTTCCATTGAATAAAATTCTGTTCAAGCCAGTGAAGTTTTGAATTACTGCAGAAGGGGTACAAACAGATTAAACATATAGAAAGCAAATTATTCATGTCATACATTTCAGATAAGCAAAAGACATTATTTTGTGTGATGTTAGCCAGCTGCACCCATAGATTTTGCTTCATTCGTTGCTCGAATGATTGGTGGCAGCGGTGGGATGACAGTTGTTGTTGTCAAAGGGCAGATGTGAATGATCAGACACAAACAAATGATGGCTAAGGAATTTGCAGTTAACCGCAAAAATGGTAGCACACAGGTTCTCTGGGGATTTGTTCTACTTGTTGCTGTTGTCACACTGCCTGTGCTTAGCGTTCAAGTTCTTTACATCTCCCCATGTCACTGGCCGACTGGCATGCCGGATCGGATTGGTTACTGTGCCATCTGTAGAGTCACCTTAGCCATTTCTGGGGCTGGATCCAGGGACTGGTCCCAACCATGCTTTGTCTGGTAATGCCCAATAATATACCAGAGGCGGAGGCAAGCTTGTTTTCTGTTGAAAGTGTCTCTGATAGGTGGTCGAATTTTGAATGGAAATATTCAATTGGTGTAATGTAAATAACACTTTTTTTTGTTGTTGTTGTGTTACCCATGACAAATTGGGTATTCTAGATCCGTCCTTTTTTATTTGTTTGTGAAGGCAGTTCTTAAAGGACCAATGAGCACGTTCCACGATGGCTTGACCCGTGGAATTATAGAGAAGGCCATGAGTAAAAACAATATTCCAGGTGGCCCAAATTGTTCCTGAATAGGTAGGTATCAATAGATAAATGAATACATTTCCAGGGAGCTAAAAAGAGAATATGGGTAACATCCAATTGCCATAGTTGATTAGAGGCAAAAACACGGGGATTAGGAAGACATAAAAAAAAATGGGCCCAGGAAGGAAAGAGTGACTGCGCATATGAAAAATAAAATATCTTGTAGCAGCTGCTGTCAAAGGAAAAACAAAGTCATAAGATTGGGGTCACTCCTGGGCATGATGTAAGCACCTGGAAGATTAAAAATAAGGTGGCATACATAATGAGAGTCAAAAGACTGTGGAGAAAAGGTGTGAAAAGCCAAGATAGCAGCAGCTAATTCTGAGCATTGTGGTGAGGACTGCATTGCAGTGTAGGACATTTTTCAGGTAACATCAGGAGGATCCTTGTAAGCAATTGCTCCTCTCGTTCTCCCTCCAGCTCCTACTCCAAAAGACAGTAGGAGCTTGTGGCAAGGGAGAAGGAGAAAGCAGTAGATGGANAAAAATAGGTTTCTCTCCATCATATGCCTTTCCATGAAACTCTTCTCACCCATCCTTCATCCTTATCTATCTCCTCCTCCTCCCTCACTTTCTCCATCTCCTACATAAACCTCTTCTCAGGCAAGCACTTACTATTACTTTTCAATTACTTTTACAACAATAAAATCTACAGTTCATTATTTCTTTCACAGCCTGGGAGAGAGTGGGCGGGGGGTGGGGCTTGAGGGCTAACACACACACTTAGGTATCACCAAATGAACTCATTCACTTCCATTCTAACAAATTCCAATGCATAAATAATTCCACATACAAATATTTCAGCTCATACTTTTTCCAGGCAAACCATTTATTCCTAAATAAGGCCTTTTTGTTATTGTTGTTATCAGAGAGGGTTTGACCCTCTTCCAAGTCTTGGAAGTAACACAGAACAACATAGACAAACATATATACACAAATACTGTTAAAACAACATTTATTTAAACATATGACTTGTCCTGCAAGGAGCGAGAAAAATCAAGAGCTGATTTCAACCAAACATGTGGTTTCTATAGAGGGCCCTTATCAACTCTTATTTTTCTCACCATTCCAAGCCCAAGCATAATGTTCTGGGTGGCCACACACACACACACATATACATAAAACACATTACACTTCAACACAAAGACATTGTCTGACAGGGTTAAACTTAACAGCTACATGAAGTTTCAAAACATTCCAATTGTTCAAAACGCATTGCAAAGGAGTGCATTTTGAGTTAATTTATGTCTTTAAATTACTCTGAAGATTCCCCTTATTATTTTTTCTACTTCAAGATAGTGTCTCTAATATTTTCTGTGTGGGGGTGTATGAGGTCTGAGAAGAAGCTGGAAATCCAATTAAAGATTCTTTAGGAGGGAGAAATTTTACTTGGTTGTAATCAGAAGGGGGGCTGGTAGTTAATTGCTGCCCTTCTGAAGCATCTGAGCCATATTTTTCCACTGCCAGACGGCACTGATACCATTGAACTGAAGCCCGGGGTTCTAGATGTAAAGTGTGCCCTATCTTTTCTCGTAACCTAAGCGTTTCATGCTTAGGATTCAAAGGGCAGTGTTTCCCTA